TAAAAGAAGACGTCTATGTTGAACAGCCTGAAGGATTTAGGATAAAAGGGCAAAAACAAAAGGTATACAAGCTTTCAAAGGCTTTATACGGACTAAGGCAAGCTCCTCGAGCTTGTAACACAAAGTTAGATCAAATCCTGAAAGGAATGAGGTTCATAAGATGCTCCAAGGATAGCTCAGTGTATCGCAGAGAAGAGGAAGGATCACTACTGATAGTTGCTGTTTATGTGGATGATTTGTTTGTCACAGGCAACACTCTCAAGGTTATAAGTGAGTTCAAGACAGGAATGGCAACTAAGTTTGATATGTCAGACCTTGGAAAACTGACTTACTACCTTGGTATCGAAGTTCATCAAGAGAAGGATGGAATCAAAATAAAACAAGAAGGGTATGCACGAAGGATCCTAGCTTAGAAACCTGCAATCCGACTTTAATTCCCATGAAATTCGGATTAAAAGTTTCAAAGGCTCAAGAAGAAGAAGAGATAGATCCCACGGGTTATAGAAGGAATGTAGGGTGCTTAAGGTATCTATTACACACACGACCAGACTTGGGTTTCTCTGTTGGAGTTGCTAGCAGGTATATGCAGAGTCCTCGCAAGTCGAAGCACATTCTATGGTATCTTAAAGGGACAGTCATGTTTGGCTTGAAGTTTTGTCATGGAGGAACAAAGAAAATCATTGGCTTTAGTGACAGCAGTCACAATGTAGATCCAGATGATGGAAGGAGCACCACCGGCCATATATTTTACTTTGGATCCTCATCAATCACTTGGTGCTCGCAGAAACAGGACACAGTGGCTCTGTCTTCATGCGAAGCTGAGTTCATGGCAACAACAGAGGCGGCTAAACAAGCTATTTGGCTTCAAAATCTATTGAGCGAGATCACAGGGTGGAAGACCGAGCATATTGTCATCAAGGTCGACAACAAGTCAGCAATGGCACTCACCAAGAACCCCGTATTTCATGGTAAGAGCAAACATATTCATAAACGCTATAATTTTATACAAGAGTGCATTGAGAAGGATTTAGTCGATGTGGAGCATGTGTCGGGTGTTGAGCAGAAGGCCGACATTCTTATTAAAGCTCTGGCAAGGATCAAGTTCAGTGAAATGAGAAGCTTGATAGGAGTCCAAGACATGTCCAAGATCAAGTTAAAGCTTAAGAGGGAGAATGTTGAATAAGCATCGACATGAGCCAAGGCCAAAGTTGCTTAACAAATCGGTTAAATAAATTAGATAGGGTTTTGGAAATATTCCTTATTAGATTAGGAGATATCTAGTTCTAATAAAAAAAGGAAAAGTGGCTTAGCAAAGTTTTGTAAGACACTATATATATATATATAAGTCATTGATGAAGTTGCATCAATGAGAGATACATACTTTAATGTTTAGTTTTGAGAGATTTTCTAAACATAATAAGAAAGTTATTCTTATAAACAGATTTGTGTTCTTAATTTAAATACTTGATATTCTTCTTGTGTGATTTCCATAGTCAAGAAGACATGTTGGTAATTTCTTATGCTAGTATTTGAAATCTGTAAAGATTTTGGTCAGAAGATGTAACACTAGTGGTTTCCTCCTTTACATTCCGAAGTAGAGGCGTTGATGTGGTCTATTAAGGGCTTGACTGGTTTAAACGCAGTTGTTGCGGTTGTGAGTGCGGGAGTTTGCGGAAGCGGACGATTGCGGTTTTGAGCGTTATTCAGCGGTTTGCACGACTGGTTAAACTTTTTAAGGCGGATCTATTTGCGGGATATTTTTGACTGGCAAACCAGCGATTGTTTCAGCGGTTAAACATAAAATTACCAAAATAAACATCATATATAATTACAACAGAAAAACAATTATGATTAATATCATAATCACTAGTTCAAAATAATTAATGAAAATTATAAACAAATACTAAATAATTCTTTTAAAAACTAATAAATTTTATAATATTATGTTTTATTTCAATTATTGGGAACATCACCCAAAATAGTGTCTAATAATGTAATAGACTGGAAAAAATTTGCTCAAATACGTGGATCTTCCGGATTTGTCTTATGCATGATGTAAAATTTCTTCAACTGATCTAATCAATTTTTTGCATGACCCCAACTCAAATCAACTCCAAATTGCTCATTAGTATTCTTCAAAATACATTCTTTCTAGAGTGCACTCAAAAATCTAGGATATTTATCTTGAGTTTGTTTTTCTACAATGATCCGTTGAAGTAACGCACATGTCATCTCGTTTGATCATGTAACTTTCTGAAGAACAAAAAAAAAGAATTATAACAAACTAATTTTGTAATTAATAAAATACATATTTATAATTTCTTATTTTAAAAGTGGAAACAGAACAATTAATATAAATGAATTAAACCAAAGTATTATGGCATCTATGCTTGTATCTTAATTTTCTTCAACTGATATAAAAATCATGATTAGAGACTAGAATTTGATAGAAAATGTGAGAGGTTAGGGTTTCTATATATAGAAGAAGATTAGTAGGGTTAGGGTTTTATAATTGTTTTTAACGTGATCATTTATTCTTTTTCTAGCGTGATTTTAGTTTTTTATTTTTATTTTTTTACCCAACCGCTACCGCCCGCAACCGCAAACGCTGACGAGAAGCAGCTTTTCGATTTCAGCAGTATAAAACGATATGGAGCGGTTTGCAGCGATTTCTATGATTGTGATAAAACGCCACTAACCGCTACCAACCGCAAACGCTGCGTTCGCGGGTGATAGCGGGTAAAACAATCAACACCTAAGGGCTTGACTGGTTTAAACGCAGCTGTTGCGAGTGCGGGAGTTTGCGGAAGTGGACGATTGCGGTTTTGAGCGTTATTCAGCGGTTTGCACGACTGGTTAAACTTTTTAAGGCGGATCTATTTGCGGGATATTTTTGACTGGCAAACCAGCGATTGTTTCAGCGGTTAAACATAAAATTACCAAAATAAACATCATATATAATTACAAAAAAACAGAAAAACAATTATGATTAATATCATAATCACTAGTTCAAAATAATTAATGAAAATTATAAACAAATACTAAATAATTCTTTTAAAACTAATAAATTTTATAATAATATGATTTATTTCAATTATTGGGAACATCACCCAAAAATAGTGTCTAATAATGTAATAGACTGGATAAAATTTGCTCAAATACTTGGATCTTCCGGATTTGTCTTATGCATGATATAAAATTTCTTCAACTGATCTAATCAATTTTTTGCATGACCCCAACTCAAATCAACTCCAAATTGCTCATTAGTATTATTCAAAATACATTCTTTCTAGAGTGCACTTAAAAATCTAGGATATTCATCTTGAGTTTGTTTTTCTACAATGATCCGTTGAAGTAACGCACATGTCATCTCGTTTGATCATGTAACTTTCTGAAGAACAAAAAAAAAGAATTATAACAAACTAATTTTGTAATTAATAAAATACATATTTATAATTTCTTATTTTAAAAGTGGAAACAGAACAATTAATATAAATGAATTAAACTAAAGTATTATGGCATCTATGCTTGTATCTTAATTTTCTTCAACTGATATAAAAATCATGATTAGAGACTAGAACTTGATAGAAAATGTGAGAGGTTAGGGTTTCTATATATAGGAGAAGATTAGTAGGGTTAGGGTTTTATAATTGTTTTTAACGTGATCTTTTATTTTTTTCTAGCGTAATTTTAGTTTTTTATTTTTATTTTTTTCTCAACCGCTATCGCCCGCAACCGCAAATGCTGGCTGGAAGCAGTTTTTGAATTTCAGCGGTATAAAACGATATGGAGCGGTTTGCAGTGATTTTTGTGATTGTGATAAAATGCCATTAACTACTACCAACCGCAAACGCTGCGTTTGCGGGTGATAGCGATAAACCAATCAACACCTAAGTGCGTCGCTTAAAAAAGAAATATCACTCTGTGGTATTTGAATATGATTGCTCAGAATTGTTGTGGATAATAGAAATATTACCGACGTTTTCTCCGTTTTGGACGAATTTTCTTGTCTGAAATTTTCTTTGAGAAAATTCTATTGAAGTTATCACCAAAAAATTTAAATTTACATCTAATTGTTTTTTTTTTCTTTTGTCTCAACAACCTCCACATTACCTCTTTATTAAGTCTTCATCATATCCATCCAAAAGGTAATTAATTAATAGTCAAGCTACCACTTACTCTTCCATTACCAAATTTTGTGACGGGTACATGTGAAAGCTTCGTTGCTTTTTCGTTAGTTTGAGATTAATAGCTTCTGTGTTTTAAGTTCTGCGTTCAATGTTTTTTAAAATTCAATGTAAATCACATCAGTTACTATAGTTTATGCATTGTTGTTGATTGGGCTGTTTGTGAATTGTTAGTAGTTTAATGTTTTGTTATTTCAACGTTAGTAGTTTAGCATTATATTTGGCCATATCACATTTTTATGATATTATATTTTCATTTTAATGTGTTTTCATGTAATCGATGATATTTTAGTCGGTAAAGGTTCATGTGTTTTTGACAACGTGGGTTGTTCATCATTCGTTGGGTCTTAACCCAAACTAAACTCCTATATTGGATCATTTGGGTTTTCTCTATACCTTCACTCTTTTCCTTAAAAACGGTAAATCCTTCACTTGCTAAATATATATATATATATATATATATATATTAGTTTGCTAAAGTTGACATATTCTTGGCAAAACCCCAAAAAAAAACCACCTTGTTAAGTTTGCTAAACTTTGATAAGAATCAAACATATTCTTCCTCTATTTTGCAATTCCTGTATTTTGCACTTTCTGTATTTTGCTTTTGAGATAAAAGTAAAAAAGTGAACAAATTAAAGTCAAGAATATTGGTTGAATAAATAAATAATATGATGGTTGACAAAAACAAATTATATGAGCAGAGAAAGAAACTTACGCCTTTGCAATAATAATACATTAATTTATCATCGCAAAGGCTCCGGTTGGCGGTTGTTGTATATATATATCACCACCATTCAGCTCCTTAGCAACTCTCTGTCTCTTGATGTGACAAAAACAAAAAAAGAGAGTAACTCTCTGTTTTGTTTTTTACATATTATAAAAAAATAATCTCTCTCTTTCCGCTGCCAAACGCTAAACACAACCGCCAAAATGACTGAAAAAGAATGCGAGCATCACCACGACGAAGATGAGAAAACACGGAAACGTTTAGGAGCGGCGGTGCTTGGTTTACTCGCAGCTATTCTTTTTGTCGTTTTCTTGGTGTGGGCCATTCTTCACCCGCACGGGCCGCGTTTTGTTCTTCAAGACGCAACCATTTACGCGTTCAACGTTTCCCAGCCAAATTTTCTCACTTCCAATCTCCAAGTAACTCTCTCTTCTCGCAATCCTAATGACAAGATCGGAATCTTCTATGATCGCCTTGACATTTATGCCTCCTACCGCAACCAACAGGTATGTTGCATTATTAGCTGTAACATCTTACGAATGGTACGAAGAACTTGGTGAAGATCGATCTCAAAGGAAACTTATTTCATAGTTTGGGATCTAGCTAATTTTTATAGTTTCTGTCAATGTATTTTTCTTTTTACGCTAAAGAATTATGTTATACAAATATATATACGAAAGGACCGACGAATATATTTTTACAAGATTCATGGTATACAAAATATATATACAAAAGGACCGACAAATCTTGGTAATAGACCGATTTAAACAATATGAAGAGTTGTGAGTTGTCTTTAGCGTGAATTTGAAAAAGTTAATTTTCATAATATCTTTGATGTTAATTAATTATGTTAGACTAAAATTTTGTTAGTAACTCATGTTTTGAATCGTTTTTGATGTTGCAATAACTTTTTTTTGTTCTTTTCTTGTTAAAAAGGTGACATTGGCCACTTTACTGCCGGCGACTTACCAAGGCCACCTTGATGTGACGGTTTGGTCGCCGTTTCTCTATGGAACATCGGTGCCGGTGGCGCCGTACTTTTCACCGGCGTTAAGCCAAGATCTAACGGCGGGGATGGTGCTTCTTAACATCAAGATCGACGGTTGGGTTAGATGGAAAGTGGGAACGTGGATCTCCGGCAGGTACCGGCTCCACGTCAATTGTCCAGCTTACATTACACTTGCCGGACATTTTTCCGGTGATGGTCCAGCCGTTAAGTACCAGCTTGTCCAGCGATGTGGGGTTGACGTTTAAGCAAAGGGATGATTATTATTTTTTAGTAAGACCTAGAAGACTACTTTTGTTGTGATTTTAGTGTTTTAGTTAACAAATTCTTCGAAATGTTTTATATATTTTTTTTGTATTGTGTTTTTATGATTTGAGATTCGTAATAATTACTAGGTCCATAAAAGTTTTCCATTTTTTTTTCTTTACAATGAAGTATATATGAACTCCAAATCGACTGTAGACAAAAATAAGAATACGTCAAAAAAACATGTAACTAACTCTTGTAACTTTGTTAGAAACCTTTTTAGATGCACATATAAAAACTTTGAACTCATTCATTCTAAATCTAATAAAAACTGGCAATACGTATACATAAATAATACGGATTATAGCTTGATAGATATTTTATAAAAATGTATTTAAAATCATGTAATCTTCTTCAATTGAAATGTTCCAACAGTAGGTTAAAGCTTTAATAATTTAAGAAATTCGCTGTTTTTTTTATAGTTGAAGTTGTCAACTACTATTTTTTGTATTTTTCTTTTTTTTTTACAAAAAAAAATTTATAGGACAAAAAACAACATGCATAAGGATACATATATCAAAGACAAATTAAACCACAATTTAAACAATATTTTTTGTACATGTGTTAAGAAAAAAAATGTTTCCTGACAACTATTTTGTTTTTTTTCTTCTCCACTATCTAATGATTATAATCAATGGCAGTCACCAATACTAACTAGTCGTTTTTTTCATTGTTCGTGGATATTTCTTGAATTTAGAAAAAAATGGGATTTTTGAAGGTGAGTTTTGCATAATTTTTGGATCATGTTTCTTGGAGACATGACACGATCATATATATTCACTTGGTACTAAGTAAGCAGCCTTGGGTCAACCAAATTTCTAACTTAAAAGACTTATGTCTTCTCTTTTTCAGATGAACGTGAACTTCCCAAGTAAATATATTTTCTCAATCTTAATCTCTGAATTTGATTAAAACCTAATAGTTTAATTAATATATGCACCGGTCTATATAAACTTGTGGTTATGTTTTATGTTCTCTGATGGTTCTTATTTGATTCTATGTAATTTCTCCAACTTTTTAAGTTTAATGAAGGCCTTTTAACAAAAAAAAAAACTTTTGGTTATAGAAAAGGAGAGAGAGAGACTTATTTTAAGCCCTTTAACTAAAAAAAGAGACTTATGCAAATTCTTTATTGTATTGAAACTTGTAGTGTTCATGTTCACGGAACATTTCTTTTGATCACTTTTGTATATTAGTTATTTTATTATGTTTTAAAATAAAGTATACAAATAGATACGAGAACTTTGTGCACATTGATGACTTAATACACGTGAGTGGTGAAAATTGTGGTGATATGTGACATTTGCACACCTTCTGGTGCCATACGCATGACATTTATCTCTTTTTCCTTTTGAAAGTTTCTTGAGATTTACTAAACTTCATGTAGATAAATTGAATTCTTTAACAAAAAAAATGTAGATAAGTTGAATTTAATAAGAGTAATTATATTGTCAAAAGGTAGATACAAGAAATGGCGAATAAATGAAAGCAAATTTTGTTCTGGATGATAAAAAGTGCTTTCTTTACCTTTGAGCTTTAACAAAGCTGTTAATTTTGCAGATGCTTAAAGGCACAAAGAAAATGATTCACATTCGCTCCAACCAATTCTATGCTTGCCACGTGTTATTGATACTTTAGTGACGTTGCATTTAAGTCACTCTTGTTGCCCCATTTGATTGTGTCTACTAGCAACAAAAGATTTACAAAAAAAAGAACTTTGTCTACTAACTGAAAAAAAAAATCATCTTTTTATGTAAACTGGCTCTACAAGAGACATCTTCTATAAAATTTACTTTTCAATTTGGTTTATACACTTGAATGCTCTGAATTTTTTGAAATTACACTCAGTTTAGAAAATTAATGTTTTTCAATAATATGTACATTCATGGAGGGTTTTACGTTATTTTCTTTGAGTTAATAATAAATTATTAACTAACCATTATTAATTTTACCATGATGTTTGTATTGACAAAATCAGAAGAGTTTTTTTTCCTTTCAAAAGGATTTCCTGAACTGTTCATTAACGTAAGTAATTAGACTAATTACTTAGCTATTATGTGATTAGGAATACTGGATTTTTTTTTTGAAACCAACAAATCGTTTATAACCTCTATCACTTGTTTTCTTATCTTAATCATAATTTTTTAAAAAGTGAGCTGTCTCTTCTTAAATGTTTTAAAAATGCACGGTTTTAAATTATGATCTACATATATGAAAATATTAATCAAATAGTTGAGTTATTTTTAAGTAGTTGATGATGGTATACTACTTTCCAATTTTTACGTTTAAACAAATATGTTTTCATTATTTTTTACTACTCGTCAAATTTGTTGATATAGGATTTAGAGCCGTGGTGTTGAACAAGTTGATTGATGGACTCTCTCTTAAAGTAATGGTATAAACTTCGCCACTAAAAGCTATGAAAGCCCTTGTAATAAGATTATAAGAACAACATTTTTTGTTTGTATATACACTCAACATAAAATAAGCACAGAAGAGTAAAAGACAAACCTCTGGTTTATTTTTTTGTAAGTTCGAAAAATGTGTATTGTATAATGAATGGACAATTGAGCATAAAATCATCATCTATGAAACATCAGTCAAATGATTGATTGATATGGTAAATTTTTGGGTCGACATTGATTGATATGGTTTTTATTTATGGATTTGTGGCCAAATACAGAAAATGTGAGCTTTTTTGTGTCTAGACTATTTAAGCATGAAATAATGACGTCTTAAAATCCTCTCGGCTGTATGGAGAGTCTCCAAACAAATCGGTTAGAATAAATTATGGCTCTTGGTCCATATTTACTCTATGTCGGTCTTATTTTACTGGAAGGGGTTCAATTGCCCCCATAACCACATCGTATTTGACCTGTGGTGAAAGAAAAGATACAAAATCCGTATTCATAATTGGTTAGGGATATACATTCTTATCAATTTTGGTTAAATCAAGTCAGTTTCATCATTTTTTGTTAAATAAAGTCCACCATGTAGATATTCATGTATTGCCCTTTTTTTTTGTCAAAAAACAGAACCGAATCATTCTCAATATAAGATAAGAAAGTGTAGGTATGGGATGATCTGCATGATCCTCTGCTTGCTGGTCTTCAAGAGTCTCTGTTTTTTTTTTGGTAAAACCGAATCCTATGTGGCATAAACAAATCTTATATAGCATAAATAAATTATACCAAATGACTTACTGGAACATTTATTTGACATCCCAAAAATCTCATTAAAGACAAAATGGAACATTTGCTGAGAAAACCTTAAACCTAAAAAGTCTCATCTCTTACTCAGTATATAGAGTGAGCTCGTGGAAGAGAAAAAACAGAAAGATCAGAGCGGCAAAGCCCTGCCAAAGTCATGCTTAAGCAGCCACCATCAAAACAGCTCGAAAGAGAAGCCACTGCAGCAATCTAGAAGGCTGATCTGACGTGTTTTGGTGTGAGAGATAATCGGTTGATCAAACCAAATCGGATCTGCATGAAACTTGGTAAGGTGATTCTAGACTCTCATATCTAGCTATAGCCGCAAGAGGATCATCATTTTGAGGTGTCTTCTAAAAGTTATGAGTGTTTTCCCGAGCCATATTTACAAAGATCCAATCTGCAAGCAGCCGACTTGCGATGCATTTTGCCGGCGATCCAGGGAGGCCCAGAGAATTTCAAAAAGTTATGACCATTTTCGAGCTGTGCCCAAAAATTATGACCATTTTCCTGTCGTGTATCAAATATGTCAAAAGGTGAATTCGGTTTGCTATTCTTCATCAAAGGGCAAAGGTTAAGACTAGTTTGTGGATCCCTATGTTATATTAGATAAATTAGTAATACTTGTATCCTTGGTATATGGATTAGATATTATTGATAAATGCTGATTTAAAACTTTCGAAGTTGAATGTGATGCATCAGATCTAGGTATTGGAGCTGTTCTGACTTAAAGAAGGAGGCCAGTAGCTTTCTTTACTGAGATACTACTTGGAGCTGCACTCAACTACTCTACCTACGACAAAGAGCTCTACGCCCTAGTGAGATCGTTGGAGACATGGCAGCATTATTTGCTGGCCAAGAAGTTCATCATACACACTGATCACGAGACACTAAAGCACCTCTGAGGCCAGACCGCCCTCAAAAAGAGACATGCGAGGTGGCTAGAGTTTGTGGAGACATTCCTATACATCATCAAGTACAAGAAGGGCCAAGACAACATCGTTGCTGATGCTTTGTCTAGACACTACACGCTCATAACCACCATGGAGGCCAAAGTCATGGGCTTTGAGCACATCAAAGAGGAATATGAAGATGATCCTGACTTCAGTGCTATCTACCAAGAGTGTGATTTGGGTGCAGTGGGCAATTACAAGTTTTACCCTAAATAAAGCTGCAAGTGCACAGCAAACGAAGTAGTACTTAGGGATCGAATCCACAAGAATTTGTGTGTCGAGGACTCCTAACTGATACTAAGAAAAATTGTAGACCTAATCAGATTAAAGGGATGACATTTGATGGTTAATGAGTGATTGCTATGTATAAGGAGTAATGAATAAGACATGTGATTTACTTATGAAGTATCAACTTGCTAAGGTATTATTGTGTGATGGCCTACAATGAGGAGCTGAATATTGTAAAGTTGTAGTGATCGATAAATTTTTTGACGGCCTATAGTGAGGGACTGAATATTGTGAAGCTGTAGTGATCTATAAAGACTGACGAGCCATAGTCAAGCCCTGTTGAGGGTGGTGGCACCGAAAACTTGTGTCAAGCCCAGAACGGGTGGTGACAGAGAATGAGTACCTTGGATGGAATTTCCTTGGGAATGTGCAGTAGACGCACTAGGTTGATTGTTTTAAATGAATGAATGAATGTCCTTATTTAGATTAGGATCATATATATATTATAAATTATGTATTAATGTTAGTTAGGTTGGTTGTTATGTGTGTATATCTATATTATGTATACTCGTTATTGTTATTTCATAATATGTCAAAGAATCTTGTGTGCTCCAAAATTACACCCTCACTAAGTATGTCCCCAAATACTCACCCCTCCTTTTCTTTTTCGGGCAAGACCAAAGAGTAGTACTTGTGGCGGTCGTTGTGGTG